GCTTTCTTCCCCGATATTCTTCCAGCTCTTCCAAATCCTCTACCCTCTGGGTGGCGCGTTTGAGCGGAGCTTCTTGCCTCTCTTGAGCTTCGCGAAGCAGTTGCTCAGCGCTGATCTGAACAGGCGCTGGTGCCCTGTTCTTGATGCGAGGCGCTCTCTCATCGCGTGACATGTTGCGCTGCGCGCACCAAAGCCAAAGGGGAAAGCGAAGTGCGCTTGGACAGCGCAATGAGGGGCACTGCACTCGTGAAGGAAGAGAGGCGCGCTTGCTGCCACGACTTGAAGAAAGAGATGGTGGGTGAGAGTGGATTTGTGTTTCTGCTAGTGCCCATACCCATCCATACCCATGCCCATGCCCATGCCCATGCCCATGCCCATAGCCTTGCCATGCACATTCACGATTGTCCGCATGTTTCGCCATGCAACTTACACCCTTTGCGTCCCAAAGTCGTCGAGCGTGCCTCACGTGTTCTTTTACGCGGCCCGCTCTGTGAAACACAAATCACAAATCAAATGTAATCAATCATGAATCACATCACAAATGCACATACATCTTCATCACAATCGATTCAAATGTTGAAACCCATGCACTCACAACTACGGTAATCAAGATTGTGCCTTCACAGTACTGCACATACAGTACTCAAGACTTCATGATTCATGATTTTGATTGCGCGTGTTGCGTAAATTTGTGATGATCCTCCATTCATTGTGTAACTCTGCTACTCGCACCCAAGCCGCGACTCCACATACATACAAGCACATCCCGCCGCCTCTCTTCCACATCGCCGCACCACTCGTGACTCAAAGAGCTTGATTACCATCGCTTCAGCATGGCCTCCCTTTCCTTGGGCGAACCTCGCCGTCGGGGCGGGGCAAACAACAGCAGCAACAGCAGCAATGCAGCTTCAGCTTCCACTTCCAGCTCAACGCAGCCCGGCACTCGATCCAGCTTGTTCGCAGACGAGTCTATTCGCTCCACCGATTCGGACGCTTTGATCTCGCGCCTTTCAGCTTTGCAGGCAGGTTATCTTCCTGCTGAGAGGAAGGGCTCATCCGAAAGGAGCTCCTTTTCGCACTACCTGTTGCCTATGGGCACACCTCTGCCTCTTCCCAAGAGACCTCCCATCATCAATATCGGCACCGCGCTCAGGTGCCTCACCATCGATCAGCATGTAGAGCGCTTCTTGCTGAAGGGCGATCAAATGAAGCAAATCATCAGTCTGGGTGCAGGTAGCGATGCTCGTTATTTCCGCATACTTGTGAGTCCAAAAACCCTGTACACCATCACGTCGTAGCAAGACGCGTTGCATGTCTCACGCTCCTTGCTCTTCAGGCCGACGAAGCTCTTTCAGCACGCCTGGCGCACTACGTCGAGCTAGACTTTTCACAATTGACACGCGCAAAGGTAGAGCGAATCGCAAGGGCAGACCCCCTGCGCAAAAGCCTGCAAGGTATGCGAGTGGGTGAGTGCAGCGAAGCAGCGGTGCCACTTCATGTCGATACGCCCAAGCCTAAGATCGGCTTTGTCATCGCCAAGCAGAGGCCAATGGAACAGCGCTTCGTAGTGCTTCGTATGCCATTCTGCCCGGCGACCTGAGAGAGCTGGCTGATCCTAGCAAGTCGGCAGCACTTCAACACACCCTCTGGTCCATCCTCCACCCCTCTCTTCCCACTCTCATCCTGGCGGAATGCGTTCTCAGCTATCTCCCAGCGCAAGACAGCACGTCGCTCTTGACCTTCCTCTCCCGTCGCTTCAGCAACATCTCAGCACTGTCTTACGACATGTGCATCTCCGGCTCGGATCGGCTTGGAGAAGCACCGAAACCCAGCAAGTTTGGCTCCGTCATGCTTTCCAATCTAGCAGCAAGGGGCCTGACTCTCGAGGGTGCCAAGGAATGCACCACGCCTCTAGCTTATGCAGAGAAATTTGCGTTAGCTTTCGGAGCAGACGCAGCCACGTCAGAGGATAGCAAAGTCGTAGACTCGGGTTGCACGAATCTCAGGCAGGTTTGGGCAGAAATGAATGCCGAAGAAAGGTCGAGGTGAGTGGACCACTCACTTGGTCTGCGGCGTCGCAGCCTCGATAGATCCGCGCTCGCGAGTCTTGGCAAGGCTGACGCAGGCAAGTGCTTGCCCCACAGATGGTCCCGGCTCGAAGGCCTGGATGAGGTGGAAGAGCTGGAGATCCTGCTCGAGCACTATGGCGTCAGCTGGGCAACTCGAGAGAGGGGGGCGGACCCTTTGGAGACCGACGAAGGGCAGCCAGTAAGCTGAATTAAGCATCATGTGTATCAAACATTCAGACAGAGCGCTTTGAATCGCGTCAAATTGTATTTGTATGTGTGCAGGTCCTTGGCGGCCTCTCGCACTCAAGCATGTCTCTCGAGCGGCTGGGTTTTTGGATGTCGAACGCAGCGGTATTCCAAATGGAAGCTCTTTTACACGCCTTCTTCTTTCGCAATGTCGACCGGATCCCCCATCTCTCCAGGTGCGTTGACATCTGGCTTTGCAGCTTCCGAGACGCTGGCCGGAGCAGCCTCGACCGGGGCATTTGCCTTGACAGCGGCGGTGCCTTCGAGAACGATAGCCTCCACACCCTCTTGATCGAGCCCCTCCACCTTGAGTGCAGCATCCGCCGCCTTGATCGAAGCCTCGAGAGCTGCCTTGCTATCGTCTGCAACGGCGCTTTCGGTGCCTTGAGGCACCGCTGCGGCAGGCTCAGGAGGAGCTGCATCAGCAGCCTTGGCCGCTTCGATAGGCTCTCCGACTGACGGCGCAAGACTGCCGCTCAAGCCCAAACCACTGGACAATGCCTTTGGTGGCGCCTGCTCAAATGCATGGTAACCCGCCTGAGGTCCGGCGTCGATGAGGCTCTGGGTGCCTGTAATGTTGATCGCCTCGGCATGTGTGGGAGGGATCGTGTGTACTGCAGGTCCAAAGTCTGCATACTTGGCGACAGAGTCGGGGAACTCTCTGAAAGCCACCAAGAGGTCAGCCGTTGAGATTGCTTGTACACGCGGTAGTGAGGAATGACGACTCACCTGCAATTGAAGTCCCACGTCTTCTGAAGGCGACTTCGCTCGCAAGCTCGGCCCGTCCATTCTCCAGCGTAGGTGATGGGGGCATAGACGCTAAAGACAAATATCGTGAGCGCAATGAAGACTGCGGCCACTTGCAAGCGGAAGCGGGGGCGCAGAGACGAGGTGAGGACGTCAAAGACAGCTGCGACAAGTAGAATGCTGAAGTAAAGAGCGGGTAGGTAGTGGTGGATGAAGAGTTGGCGAGACATCAACCAGAAGGGAAGGTAGTGCATCGCCCAGCCAGTGAAGAGGAAGCCACAAACTTGATCATAGTAGACGATGGCGGCTGCAAGGCACATGGGCTAGGTGTCAGCTTCTGGTTTTGAGAAAAAGCAATGAGGCTATTGATCTCACAATCATTGAAGTCCCGTTTGCCTCGCTTTGCCCTGAGCATCAAGACAGCTCGAGCGCCCAGGTATACCAGGATGGCGACCAGCGCCCCGTACCAGACTAGCGGATTTCCGATCAAGTAAATCTGCCTGTGGTCCTTCGCCCAGAAGTTGATTCCTCTCCGCAGCGTGGGCCAGGTCGAAGGACGAGAATCGTAGGCGTGACGCTCAGTCAATCCAGCGTTCGTCTCCCACATGACACGCTGCAGCTCCTTGAAGCGAGCCCAGAAAGATGGGGCTAGATAGTTTACCAAGTCGATCCCTAGCCGTCTGCGCTCTTGCGCTGTCTCCGGAGAAAGGCCCCCGTCTTCGATGCGAGGATGCGTGTTCGTTTCTATGAACCACAAGCTGTTGCTCATCTGAGGGTTCTTGTTGCACGTGACTTCCTGCTGGCCGAAACCCCAGTCAGGAAGCGGAATTTTGTGACTGAAAAGATAGCAGCCGGTCAAAGTGTGGCGGAAGCGGATGGTGGAGCGCAAAGCGCGGACGCGGCGACGAGACCGGGGATCACTAGGTTCATGGCTTTCAATTTCGACGTGCCAATTGTCGTTGGCATCACCGAGGAAACCTGGGAAACCATAGCCAGTGACCTCGTTCTGGTAATCGCTTTCGGTGATGGGAGGACGGTTAGAGTCGTGAGAGTGAAGGCGCTTGTCCGACTTGCGGTGAATCAAACGGACTTCCATGCCGTGTTTGAGAAATTCGATCTGTCCAGTCTTGTACCTCTCAATGTCGTGTGGTCCGTCGACGCTGAGGGGAACTCCGTCGGCATCCACAGGTGGTGGGGGGTCGTCTGGGCCTGGCGCACCGACAATGTACCATTCGTTGTTCTCATCTCGGTGCGGATACAGAGTGATCTGCTGTTGCCCGCTGCCGCCTGGGTAGTTGTGCAGATGAGAATGGAGGTAGCCCCCTTGTGTGTTCTTGTGCCGGATGCTGACGGTCGACCCGAGGGCGACATCTGCGTACGTGTCGGGCATCGAATGGCCCCGGAGTGTGTGCTGAAAACCAGACGACATAAATGCGTCGCCTTCGCCGCTACGATTAAGAACGGCAAGGTGAATTGAAAAGGTGAAGAGATAGAAGAGGAAAGGCAAGAAGATGAGCAACGCTGCACGCGCAGCAAAGTGCTGCCCGACTCGCGACATGGGCTGCCGGACGTCGCCTAGGTGCGCCCAAAGCTGAAAAATGGTATTGAGCCCGATGGTTGCAATCGTGAAGAAGCCGACCCACTTTACGCTGGCAACAGCACCGAGACCTGCGCCGGTGAAAGTGAGCCAGACCCACCACTCTCGGCCAAACGTGCGACGCTTGTCCTCGATGCAGAAAGACACCCAGCAGAACGTCGTGATGGCAGTGAAGAAGAGCAAAGGCGAATCGAGGAGGATGAGGCGCGACTGAGTGGTCAGCGCATTGTCGAAGGTGACGAGCATCGCCCCCACCAAGGCGGAGGTGCCTCTCAAGGACAATGCACGGAGCGTCAAGTAGCTCAAGGGAGCGAGAGCGACCCCCATGAGGGCTGGAAGCAGGCGCATGGCCACGTAAGGCACTGGTCTGTGATCTTCGCCAATGAGGTACTCCTTGCCAATCTCTTTAAAGTCGAAATCGCCGCGGAAGCCAGCTAGCCAGGCAACAAACGCGAAGAGAAGCTTGCCCAAGGGCGGGTGCACGTCCATGAAAAATCTCTGATTGATGTACTTGGTCGCAAATCCTCCAAAGTGCACTTCATCGAATCTGTACAGATGAGGCAGTCAACAAGGACATGAACCAGACATCAGCGAGAGAGCGCTGGGCGATGCGGAGGAAGAAGAGGCGCGCACACGAGTGTATGCGACGTCGCGACCTCGCTCGAGCAGTACTCACACAACACTGCTGGGTGCGCTCAGGTGCCACGTGCGGACCACCAAAGCGATGAAGGTGACGCCAGCTACCAGCAGCACCTCGGTGCTGGGCAGGGCGAGGGAAGCATCGAGAGCATGAGCATCTGCATGGGATGCGCCTCCTAGACGCTTGTCTGCCAACGAAGCTGCTCGTTGCGGCGGTCTTGACGCTGCTTTGTCGTGCACCGAGTCGTAGCTGGAGGCGTAAGAGCCGTCGTTGGATGCGACGAGGTTGCTATTGGCATTGGCCACGCCTCTGGAGCGCATGGACAGCGCCGTCGGTCCAAGAGAAGCCATGGCGCGTGCGCCAAATTTGAGCTGCGGTGGTATTCACGATCGATATTTGTGGAGGAGAGCGTGTTGCTGGCAAGGGCAGACGAATGGCGCGTGATTGCGCTGCCCTCGACGCGTCGAGGCGATGTGAGATGGGAGAGAGAGAGAGAGAGAGAGAGAGAGAGAAAGAAAGGAAGAAGAGAGGAAGGGATGGACGAAGTAGGCAGATGAAAGAGGTGAGAGAGAGCGCGAGGTCTGCCTGACTGGATCTATGTTGCGAACACGAATGGCAAGGCCGATGCGGGTGAAGAGAGGAATGATAGCGCGCGCGCAGCCAGTGCCAGGGTCTAGAGGTGAGTCGGTGATCCGGTGTTCGAGCTGGTGACTGTGGCGGTAAAGAGTTGTCGGAGACACAATGGTCGTCGAGGAGAGACTATGATAGGTGACTTGTGACTTCTGCGTGACTCACACTTGAACTCACCCGTTCGACTCGACTGTACTGTGTAGCCGACCGATGTGGTGAGTTGCTCCCCTGCTGGCGGCCTTGGTCGCTTTGATGTGCTCGACTGG